ATTTATATGGCAGAGAAGATGTACATGGTTATGAATACATAGAAGACACAAATTTTAAAACAAGGTAGTATTCAGGTACACTGGCTAGCCTCACAAATGAGGAGTATCATTTCATATACTGGCCCTAACATGTGATACTAATTCCTGGCTTCAATCACTTGCATTAGCATATACAACACACTGAAAATGTGCTCAATGAAGATGTTCCTAAGAAATGGCTACTTCACAAATGACACAAAAGACCAACAGTATGCTGCCTAACACTGAAACAAACCATTTTTCGATGGACAGCAATGATGTAGCCTGAAAAGGGGCTGTCAGGAAGAGATGACATATGACCATTCATTATTCCATTAGTGAAGTTCTTCTCAGTTCCACATGGCACAACAGTGTTTGGCATTCCATTAGGGATGAATAGTGGTCGAGGTATGTCCCCACTGGTAGTTAGAGAGAACATTCCATTTGTAGATGGTGAAGAGGAGAAATCTATAAATTCAAAGATATAAATAGCAACATAAACTTGTGGTACTGTGGTACTTTTTCTTCCTCCACTAGGTAGCCCACACTGGCCTCGAACTTGTGATCCTTTTGCCTTAGGCTCTCCAGTAGCTCCAGTAGCACATGTATGTGTGCTCCATGCCTGGGTTATCTTGTGGTGCTTTTATCTTTGCTCTTAAATATTCCAAGGACCTGTACCTTAAGAGTGCAATCTCTTTTAACATAAGACAGGGAAAAATCATAGTTCAAATAATAATTTTAAATTTATTGGATTTTAATTCCAGATTTTATTGTCATAACTCACACTTAAAAGACTAAATGGAAAAGCAGGAGCAAGTGCTGAAAACAGTCAAATGGAATTCTTACAGAAACCAATATGAAATATTGCACTGGGGCACACAATCAGTTCTACCACTTATTTTCTTTTTCCTTGACTCTAAAATTCTCTATTCCCCTACACATGTTCTGTCAATATGGCCAGTGGCCAGATGTTGCTTTTTTAATTACTAAAAAAATGCATTTCCTCAGTCTCATTAGCCACATTTAAGTGCTCAAACAGCCTGCATGACTGTCACGAAGGGCAAAGATCATAGAAACTTTCCATCATTGCAGAGTTCTACTAGACAGTGATGATATAAATTAAAAAGCACCACTAGCTGGGCATGGTGGCACACACTTGTAATCCCAGCTCTCAGGAGTCTGAGGCAGGAGGATTGCCACGAGTTTGAGGCCAGCTTGGGCTACATAGTGAGTTCAAGGCCAGCCAGCCAGCCTGAACTACATAGTGAAACCCTGTTAAAAAAAAACCCCCAAAACACCCCCCCGACTAAATCATCTTTAAATTCACCATGAATACTGTTTACTACATGCCAATGAGAGGAGGCTTATTCCCTATAAAACCCTTTATATTAGAGAATTAACCTAACTGTAAGCAGTATAAATAAGAACAGAGCATATTAAGAGCCAAAAAGACTCACTGAGTAACAATCCTAACCAGATGCAGTAACTGGATAAAGAGATTCTTTTTCACCTAAATTTATTGTGTTTTCTGATGGTATTTTCCTCTCATATCATGTTGAAATGTTAGAATTAGGCTAAAGAGTTAAAAGAGACCTGAATATTAATGGTATATGAACTAGTAACTACCTACCTAACTTAGTCACTTAGGTTCTCTGAATTTTAGTTTCCTTATCTATAAAAAGAAGAATTTAAGCCAAATGATCAGTAAGATTTTTCCTGGGGAAGACTGTTTAGCTCAAATATTCTCAGCACAACAAATAAAAAAATCATGATACCCTTTAAGCCCATAAAGCTGTTGAGACCATGAGAAAGAGATCCAGTGCTATCTTACCTGTCTGTATAGGACTAGAAGCTGAAATAGGAGATGCCGGGATAGGAATTTCAAATGCACACAAAAATCCACTCACTGAGAGTCGTACTTTCTGGTTGTCCTGAGGGAAGTTCTACAAAGGAAAAAAAAAAAAGGAAGATGAGAAGGGAGGTGTTTCAGAAGAGATGGATAAACTATCTGATGTACTCAAAGAGAATGTTTTAGGAGCTTTCACATAAAAAAAAAGATGACTGAATCATTTTTTTTTCCTGGTACCGGGGATCAAACTCCGGATCTTATGGTTGCGAGGCAGGCGGCGGAACCACTGAGCTGAATCCCTGGGTCAACTGAATTGTTTTTCTTGGCTAACTAAAAGACAAATGCTTGATAAAATAAGGGATAATTCAGTTCTCACTGCCAAAGATAGGAAGTATGTTGTGTATGACTGTCTTCTTTTTTATGGGAGGGGGGTTTATTTTAGACAGGGTCTTGCTATGTAGTTCAGGATGGCCTTGAAACTTGCAGTGATCCTCCTGGTTCAGCCTCCCAAGTGCTAGGATTACAAGTGTGTGCCACCATACCTGGCTGATACCTTTTTTTTTTTTTCAGATTGACATAGTGCTTTATTTAAGCTGTCTGTACGAAAGAAAATAATGTGCATCCCTATCACATCCGTGTAAAAGTATAAGGATGTACAATGTACAAAAACAGTTTCTTGTAGTTATTTCACATCCTTGTGGGTCATATACTTAAGGAAAGAAACAGTTTTAGTATGACCAACAATAACAGTAATACAGTTTCTTGGGTTCACAGTTGCATCTGCTTAAGATCCCTAACGAGATGACCGAATCTTTTATTTTTCTTTTCTCTTTTTTTGGTACCAGGGATCAAACTCAGGACCTTGCGCTTGCAAAGCAGGCGCCGGAACCACTAAGCTAAATCCCTGGCCCTTTTTTTTTGGTACCGGGGATCGAACTCGGGTCCTTGTGCTTGCACAGCTGGCAGTGAGACCACTGAGCTAAATCCCTGGCCCTTGACCAAATCTTTCGAAGATCTAGCAAGGTCAAGAAATGTCACAAACTATAAACCTATAGGGAGGTAACTCAAATACCAATTTAGAGGTTTTCTTTTTATTTAAATAAATTCATTTCATGCTTGCCTGTAATGCACTACCAGGAGTAAGATAAGGAAGTTCTACTGTAGACAGTATAAACAGTAGCACCAAGTGTGTACACTGAGGTGTAGTACAGAGACCCTGGAGTTAGTAAGGGAGGTCCTTACTTTTGTTTGTTTTTTTTTTTTAGGCCCTTACTTTTGTACTCTAGAAGAAGAGCAAGTGGCCCCGCGAGAACAGTCAGCTTTGAAAAGCCAGAAATCAGGTGTGGGAAATGGAAAACATACTGGAATAATGCAATGTAATTAGTGTAGAAAACAAAGCTGTGAGCAACCCTTGCCAACAATCCAAGCCGAAGGGGTTAATTCCCTCCAAGATGGTTGCCTTGTGACAATGGGTCAGACTTCATGACAGTACAAGCTGGAGTTTGCCAAGCTGGAAATGTATTTGGATAGGAGGATTCCAGGTTTCTGGCTATTCTATCTGCCAGAATCCGAAGCTACAGCAATGGGCACCTCGGGGAAGTTTCATAATTTCCCTCTGTGCACCTTTCTGTGCTGTCTTAAGCCTTCATGCCAGATGACTGAGATCTGGGAATGAGAGGGAGGGATTCTCAAAATCGAAGCCAAGAACACATTTTCAGTGACACTGACCGCTTCGGAGGGGATGACTGGGCCCTGAGTGTGGCTGGGGACTGAGGGCCAGCTGTGAGGAGGGGCCAGCCATGGGCATTGTCAGCGCCCATCATTAATCTCTATGAAGTATCCTTGGCCAAGGTCATGGAAATCACCTTAAGATTTTTTTGGGAAAAAACCCAAAACAACAAAAAGCTATGTGCTTAGTTAGTGTATAGTGTCATGCTTTCCCTCTACAGGAACAAATGCCCTGAACGTCAGCCAGTCTCAGCTTTCTCCTCTTCTCACCTGTTTACTTCTTAGAAAATGGATGCAAGACAATGAAAGGACATAACTTCTAGTCTACTTTCTTGTCACTGTGGAACATTCAACAGAATCCCAAGTGAAAAAATGTTAATCTATAGATGTAAGAATGAACTACCATTTACTGTAACTTCCTACTTAACACTAAGGATGAACGTCACACAGGTAGAAATATGAAATATTAGGATAAAATCTAAGTCTGAATATGTCTTAGCTGCCTTAATAAAATGCCCTTTAACCCCCCGTCAGTCCCAGTGGCCCACCCACCACCAGCAGTGGTTTCAGAGCTATAAATCCTCACTTCCAGCATCAAGAGGCTAAGACATCTGCATATGGATGATCCACCCTACTAGAAAGTCACTTGCTCTCTCATACAAAGCAATCTAATACTATGTTGCGATGCAGTCTTCCATTTGGGAGCTGTCAGAGTTGAACTAGAATACATCTCCACGATCGTTCCAGGGAGTGCACGCCCTCCTGCTTGCCCCAGGCAGGGCTCCTGCCCCTTGGCTGATACATTTTTAAAAAATGTTTTAATATCTTCCCTGATTATATAATGTAAAAATTAACTGATAACAATTGAGAAAACTGTGAAGCATGGAATAAAAGGTTTCCTAGAAATAGTTAATATTACCTTTATGTTGGAACCATGTACTTCTGCAAGAAGGATTTGTTCTGATTTAAGCCCACAGAGATCACTCAGCTGTTTTTTTAAACCTGTATACTTTTCATCCATATTCAGTCTTAGCCCATATCGTATGGGGGTAGTACCATCCAACTTGATTACTAGCAAAGAGGAAAGATCTTTTATCAATAAAATACAAGTCACACTGAAAGTCTTGTATAATGTAAGCAGACAGATACATCTGACTTGCAAATATTAAACATTTACCCCTAGAATTTTGTACGTAAATGGTTTAATATGTAAATGATAACAGTACTTAAGAATAATGGGTAAAATCAAGAGTTTTTTGATGTTCTCTGATACAGAACTGTGAGAAGCTTTGCAAGTTTTTACAGAGGTTTCTGGCATGTTTGAAACTAAAAGCACCACCAATGGGCACAAGAATGGGTCCATGTTCCAAGTCTTTCAAACCTGAAATTATGTATGAACGTAGACTTCTGGAGTATAACATGATGACTACAAATCTATGAACTCATCATAAACAAATAACTGTAAATACAAATTCAGGTCAAAAACTGAACCAGGTAAAAGAAAATGGAGTCAAATAATTTTTCTGAACTTTGTGACCTACCTGTTATTTCCAAGTGCATATAACTGTCCATTGGTAGTGGCAATGACAAAAAATTAAAAGGGTCAAATCGTACACTTATATGCCCACACGTCTTGCATTTGACTTGGGATCTTAGCTGTCCATGGAACAAATCCACAACAATAGATCTATTTCTTCTCAAATGGTTGTCCCAGGCCTAGCAAGGAAGAAGATTACAAAACTCTTCTTTTCAAAATTCAAAGGATAAGCATTTCTACACAAATCCAAAAACAATGGCTAAGTACACTGAATTTAAATGTTACAAATATAATCATTTTGCAAAAAAAGAAAAATCCTTAATCTTAATTTAAAATATTCAAGCTTTCTATGAATTTATAATCCATGTATATAATTCAAAATGTATGGCCACCTGAAAGAGTTAAAAAAATGTTAAATAGAAAGTAATTTTTCTGAGGAGTCTATAAAATATTAAATTCAGAAGCTCGGGATACAACAGTGGTAGAGCACTTGGTAGCATGTGTGAGGCCCTGGGTTCACCCCTTTACTGCCAAAAAAAAAAAAAAGAAAATGAAAAAGAAGCAGTAGTAGCAGCAGCAAATAAAACACACCTGTATATTACTTTAGCAATTACGAGACTCTAAATTGCACTGCGTAAAGCTGGGCATGGCGTCATACACCTGTTATCCCAGCACTTGGGAGGCTAAGGCAGGAGGATCACCACAAGTTCGAGGCCAGCCTGGGCTACATAGTAAGTTCAAGGCCAGGATGAACTACATAGTGAGACCCTGTCTCAAAAAAAACAAAAACAAAAAAAGTAATTCACTGGATAATATTTTCTACATCCTGTGCTACTGGTGGCAAACCTATGGCACATATGTAACTTTTTCTTTAAAGGCAACAGATGTTAATGTAGAGTTGTTTTTTCTAAACTACAGTGTTGGTACTTTGTGATAAATAAGTGGGTTTTGAGTTGCAGTTTGGCACTCAGTCTCTAAAAGGTTTGACATCACTGTCCTATGCCATAAAGTCCATTAATGTGAAATAGCAACATTCTTCTATTTCCATGAGTGCTTTTGCTTCAGTATTACTGCATAAGAACAACCCACAGAAATACAAATTCTTGTTTTCAAACAAATACTTTGATCACAGAACATTTTAGTTTGTGTTTAAGTTGTTTGGATTTATTTAGTTTACGTGAATTTGTGGTCATAGTATTTCATCTATTAGAAACTCAAAACTGACAAACCTCTGCAGCTACTTCCCAGTCTGGTCGGCCATCACTGTCCTTCAGTTCCACATACGGCTTCTCATGGACTCGGTTGAGATCTTCATGAAGACCATCCAAGAGGAAAGCCAAAAGTTCTTGGGAGTCTTGTTGTTGGAACCCATTAAATCTGGGAGCATATTTTGCTATGGTCCACTATAAATATAAGGAATAACAGTCATTATCGCCTACCCTATAATAAACATAATTCATAATTCAATCAGAGATATTAATCATAATCAATGAATCTTTCTTAGTCTCAAATGACCAAAAATAAGAGAACCCTTTTGGCCAATACTGACTTCTAATTCTGCATCATATAGCAAAACTGAATTTGTTAGGCACATAGATGTTATTTAAGACAGAAATAGTAAAATAACATTTGGTCACACTGAAAGACTTTCACCTGAAAGACTATGAGCCTAAGTTTCCTGGGGATAAAGCACTCTAGGAGGCTGAAGCAGGAGGATTTCAAGTTTGAGTTGTTTGGAGCAACTTAGCAAGATCTCGTCTCAAAACTAAACAACAGAATAATAAAAGGACTGGGATATAGCTTAGTGCAAAGGCCCTGGTTCAATTCCCAATACATACCACCAAAAAAGGTGGTGGTATTGGCATAAAACACTAGATCACATGTAAGATTATTTACAGAGTTAAATGAGTTAAGGCACATAAAATAAATAGAACAGCACCTAACAAGTGGCAAGCAAATCTTTAGCTATTATGATTATTTATTTATTTTTTTTGGTAGTACTAGAGATTGAACCCAGAGCCTTCACACTGAACTAGATGCCAGCCCTTTTTATTTTTAATTTTGAGACAGGGTCTCGCTAAGGTGCTAAATTGCTCAGACCGAGCTTGAATTTGCTATTCAGTCCGACTACAGATGTGTGTCACCCTGTCCAGCTTGCTTATTTTTACAGTGCTGGATACTGAACCCAGGCCTTGGTACCAAGCTGTATCCCCAGGCCCTTTTTATTTTGAGATAGGCTCACTAAGTTGCCCACGTGGGCTTGAACTTGTGACCCTCCTTCCCAGAGTTCTGGGGTTATAGGTATGCACTACCAAAATGTGAGAAACCTTTGCTTTTTGGGGGGGTGGGTGCTGGGAATTGAACTCAGGGCCTCACACTTGCAGGCAGGTGCTGTACCGCTGAGTTACATCCCCAGCATGCCTTGTTTTAAAATAAAGAGAATTCTAACAATTAAAATCCACCTCATATAGTAATATAAAATTTAAATTCATTATATTCTTTAATCCTTTTTTTTTATTCTACACATTGAATTATCTTAGTAATACTGGAAAGGTATTGGTTATAATTAATTAAACTCTGAGATTTACCTTGCAGTTAGAATACTGCTACTAGTGAAGGATTACCAAAAAAAGGTTTACTTATCATATAAGAGATTTAAAAAAAAAGATATTTGATAAATTAAGAAAATGAACAACATTCCAACTTTTGACTATATCATTGGTCTTTTACTACTCACTACATACACGGCAGTATTGTGTATATATTTGAACAAGTATAAATACTGGACAGCTGGTTTATGCCTTGTGAAGGACCCAAAAACACTGATTAAACTAAACTAAAAAGCTAAACGTAGAAAATATAGAGAGAGTTAAAAGATTGCTTAAACAACTTTTAGAAATTAAAAAGTTTCATACTATTTCAACCTGCTTACCCGAAGCTTTAATGGGGCAACATTTTTCTGAGTTCCACTCCAAAGTTCCTGCACTAAATCACCATAGCATTTAGCCATATGGCCCTTCATACCAATGGGATTTGTCCTAGAAATTTAAAAGGAAAATCTGTTGTTAAAGATGCTCAAAAGTCACAATCACACAGGCACAGAAATGCCTATCACATCAAAATGCCTTTTCAGTTTTGGAAACAAGATTAGTAGCCCTTGGTCCTTCCTTCATATTAAATAGGGCAATAAGATGACTCCTTCCACCCTCTTACCTCCATAAAGAAAAAGGAGACTGAGGTGATACTAGATTTATATTGAAATCATGGAAGGTTTAGCCATCAATGGCTCAAAAAATATTACCTGTTGAGTTCATAAAGATGTCTCCCTGAGATAAAATACTGTGTCAGTGGCTGTGTGTTACTAACACACTGGATGCTTGAGTTCATGAAGCATGTATTTCCCAGGTTACTTAGACCTGTGGCTCCCTTTTCTGTGGGAACTAAAATAAAAAGTATGAGAACCAAAATGTAGCTACAGCAATATCCTGTAAAACAAAATTACCAGTACTTGATGCACTGATTTTTATAACTTTTTTTTGGTACCAGAAATTGAACTCAGGACTTTGAGCTTGTCAGGCAGGCGCAGTGCTGCTGAGCTACACCCCTAGCCCTGATTTGTATAACTTTTTTTTTGGTACTGGGGATCGAACTCAGGACCTTGTACTTTCGAGGCAGGCAGCGGCACCACTGAGCTAAATCCCCAGCCCTATAACTTTTAATCAGCTAAGTGAGCTAATATTTCTTTAGTAGGCTTTTCAAACGCTAAGTTGTGTCATGGAGTGTCTTTAGCAATCATGATCCATGCTCATTTGTCATCCAGAAGTAGCAAGTATTCTTTTTAATTACTATGATTTTTAAAAATGAATTCTCCAAGTATGACTTTAAAAACACATAAATTAGGGCCGGGGATTTAGCTCAGTGGTTTCGCCGCCTGCTGCACAAGCACAAGGACCCGAGTTCAATCCCCGGTACCAAAAAAAAAAACCCCCACATAAATTATTTAATTGCAAGGTTACAAAAATTTATAATTTGATGATGGACTTACCCAACAAGAACAATAAAAGAGTTTAAAATCATCTCTTTAAAAATAATATTGGAGGGGGCTGGGGATTTAGCTCAATGGTGCTGCCGCCTGCTTCACAAGCACAAGGTCCTGAGTTGAATCCCTGGTCAACCACCCCCTCCCACCAAAAAATAATATTGGAGACTTACCCTTGTGTCTGTCTATTTTACTACTGTTTGCTATAAAGGACATCTCCTCAGGCCAACTCATATCTTTGTTTCGTACTGGAAAAACAGATAAGAGTGTGTTAATTTTTCTCCATACAATTCATACCCATATGTTATTAAAAAAAAAATATCCTAGGGCTGGGGATTTAGCTCAGTGGTTCCGCCACCTGCCTTGCAAGCGCAAGGTCCTGAGTTCGATTGCAGGTACCAAAAAAAAAAAAAATCTTGTGCCTAAATGAGAAACAAAAAGAAAATCAAGTGGCCAGGGATGTGGCTCAGTGGTGCTGAGCCTGCCTGGCAAGTGCAAGGTCCTGAGTTCGATTCCCTGTACCAGGACCAAAAAAAAAAATCAAGTACTTTTTAGTAACTGGCCTGAAAATATTCCTATTCTTTATTGTGGTCTTTAAAAAAACTTGATAGAATTAATAAACTACTACTTTCATTTTTACTTGGAAGTAAAATCCTACCCAACTATCTATGGAAGTAATTATAGTTCAGACACAGCTGGGCATGGTGATGCACACCTTTAATCCCAACACTCTGTGAGGCTAAGGCTGGAGGATCACAAATTCAAGCCCAACCCAGGAAACATAGAGATCCTGCCTCAGAAAAATGCAAGAAAGGGCTGGGGATGTAGCTTAGTGCAAAGGCCATGGATTTAATGTCAAGTACTGCAAAACAAACAAAATCCCCCCCAAAACAAAAAACCCAACTCAGACACAAAGACAAACACACAGACAACAGGAAGTCTCAGACCCAATGGAATTTCTTAAGCCTAAAACATCAGAAATATGACAATTCTTTCTTAAATTGTAAGTACTGTTGAAGTAATCTATTCTTTTTTTTGAGACAGGATCTCATTGTGTAGTTCAGGTTGGACTTGAACTCACTATGTAGCCAGGCTGGCCTTGAACTCACGGCAATCCTTGTGCCTCAGTCTCCCAAGTGCTGAGATCACAGGCGTGCACCACCATGCCTGGCTCTATTCTTTTTTGAGTGTGGGGGGGTGTCTTGGGCTGGGGATGGCAGGCACAAGGTCCTGAGTTCGATTCCCGGTACTGAAGGGGGAAGAAAGCAAAAAAAAAAGGCTGGGGATTTAGCTCAGTGGCAATGTCCTGAGTTCAATTCTGATACTGGATCAAAAAAAAAAAAAAAGACACAGAGAGACAGGGTCTTGCTATGCAGTTCAGGCTGGCCTTGAACTCATGGCCATTCTCCTGCTTCAGCCTCCTGAGTGCTGGGATTACAGGCATGCACCTCCACGTCTATTCATTTTAATGCAAAGGTGACTAACAATGTTTCTATGAATCTTCATGGGAAAAGTCATACTAAGTTTTCAAAGACATGTGCAGGTGTACAAATTTATCTGGAAACATACATGAGTAACCAGTATTGATGACTAATGAAAGCCTATGCCATTAAATGTATGAGAAAGTTGGTCCCTGACTCAACCTTAAAGAGACAGCCAAGAAATTTTTAAAAACTTCATAAACCTGCAATAGAATTCATTTGTTTCTACTCATTTTTCCCATATTTTGCCAGCCTATGATAGCAAACAGGTTGTCTTTTAAAGCAAACTAAGTAGTATAGTAGGACTACCTAAGTTCAATGGATTTGCTTTATCACAAAGAAAATAAGGATCAAGTAAAAGTTGGTTTGGGAAAAATTATAAAATGGATTATTAGTGAGTAATTCTTTAAATTCTTCCCCTAAAAACTGAATATAAATGCATATGTCTACCTCATACCTTCAATTACCAGGTGCTGTTCATCCTGAATTTTTAAATATTCCAATCTATGATCCTCATCATCCAGAAGAGTAAGGTAATTCTGTATAAAAGGAAATGTTTTTGTTAACTTGGTTAGTAAACTTGAAACAAATACAGAAATAAAAATAAATGATAAAGGGCCAGGGATTTAGCTCAGTGGTTCCGGCGCCTGCCTCAAAAGTGCAAGGTCCCGAGTTCGATCCCCGGTGCCAAAAAAAAAAAAAAGATAAAAACTCTTGCATTTACATAAATGATGTCAAAGACACTTGGCATATCATAGTTATTAAAGAATATTAACAATTTAGGTGGCAAAACAAGGGAAAGACAATGTACATTTCCTAGTTTTACAAACATTCTCTAAGTCCCTAATTTTGGGGAGAAGATCGAATATATACTAAACCAAAGTTTACTGAAATTTAGATTTTTTTTGAAGAGCTGATAGAAAAGAAATTTCTTTAATACCCATAATGAAATGTAGTACAATTAAACATTTTTGTTTAACCTTGCACTAGCTAAAGTGTTTACAAAATTAATTCCTTTAATTCTCACAACTACCTTGAGGGAGACACTATTTCTCCATCTGACTGATTTGAAAATTCACACAGAATTAAGCCATCTGCTTTTAGCTACACAACTGAAAAGTAGCAGAGTCAGGATTTATTTCCTAGTAATGTGGCTCCATGAACTGTACCCTTAACTATGACACAATACTGCCACTTAATGGTGACCAAAGGAGGATGCAGGAAAGAATGCACTAGAGAATAGAGAATTGTTAAGACTACTTATGATGCAATTTTAGAGTCTAATTTATATTGAATATGTAAGGAAGAATATATAAGTAGTTACTAGCATTGCCTCTGAAGAGAATGGAAAATAGTGTTCAGAGGATGGAAGGAGGAATTTTTCACTATAAACTTTGTGGTTTTCTTTTGTTTTTTTTTGAGACAGGGTATGGTAGGTCCTCTGTAATCAAGCCTGGCCCTGAACTCATGAACCTCCTGCTTCAGCCTCTTGAATGTTGTGAATTATACCACCACATCTGCCTTTGTTTAAAATTTTTTAACATGTATAAAATAGTTTCAAACAAATCCAACATCAAATCTGCTTAGAAAAAGAGAAAGATATTTCTTATTACTTTAAAATAGAATAATCTTTACAAAATAGGACTGGCCACGATGATTAACTGTAACTATGGATCTCAGGTGACAAATATCTACATGTACACAAATAATAATTTAAAAGCTGAAGTTTTAACTGAGGTGCTAGCTAGAGCTTTTAGCATAATTATACAAAAATCTCATGATTTAACATTTAATCAGATTCTTCATGAGTCTGAAATGCCTCTTACCTCACTATTATACAGCCACAGACGCATATCTTCCTCTTTGATGCGCAGCCTTTGAGACAGATACTCATGAATTTCCTTGATGGTCTGCATTCTACTAAAACAGCCTGTATAGGCTAACACTCGCTTTAAAGGAGCATTTGGAGAAGGTACATTTCCTATGGTTAATAGTAACCACAATAAGAAAAAAGGCAGATATTAAAAAAAAAACTCTAAGTAATGGAAACCATATTATTTGGGAAAATACTGATAAGAAATGAAAATTATAGATTTAATAATTTTATAAATGAAGTATACCATAAAACTTTAAAACGAAGACAGGAAACCCAAGTGTTTTAAACTCTCAACTTTGAAAAAAGAGCAATAATAGTACGGAGGCCCAAATAACTGACAATATTTGGATCCCAATAAGAGTGGGACTGCCTGGCAAACTTGAGGCCCTGAGTTTGATTCCCCATACAAAAAAAAAAAAAAGAGTGGGTACGGCAAATGGCACTGGTACATGGCTACATGGCTGCCCTCAGGTCATGACAGCAAGATAAATAAAATTCAGTTTAAGAGTGGGGGAGATAAAATTGGACTGGATTTGAATTCCACTGACAGATAATTGGATTTATCTAATCCACTTTCTTAAAATAAACTATCTCTGAATTATTAATCCTATTACTTTTAGTCATTAAGTGTGCCAATTACCTGGCACATATATATATATATATATACAGTTATATAGAAAAAAATTTTTTTAACTTAAAATTCCAAATAAGTATAGATTCTACATGGCCAATTTAAAAATGAATCCAAGAAGCTTTCCCTGACCAAATAAATAAACTTGTCCTACTGAAAAGTGGAGGAAAAAGTCATATAGCCTACCTGCCCAATCAAACAACAGCGGAGATGACTGAATTCCTGAAAGGCTCAAGGTGGAAACAAGAATAGCAATAAAGTTGTTCCTCAAAATCTTCAGGGGATCAGTTTGAGGAATTCCTCACCCCTAGGATATCACAATCTATGGATGTTCAAGTTCTTTATACAAAATGGCACAGCATTTACATATAACCCATCTATATCCTCCCATATACTTTTTTTTTTCAAGTACTGGAAATCGAACTCAGGACCTTGTGCTTGTGAGGCAGACATGGTGCCACTGAGCTAAATCCCCAGTCCTCATATACTTTTTATTGTCTCTTGATTACTTATAATACCTAATTCAATGTAAATGCTAAGTAGATAATTGTTACCCTGTATTTTTTTTTTCCTGGTACCAGGAATCAAACTCAGGGCCTTGCACTTGCCAGGCAGATGCTACACCGACCGCTGAGCTACATTCCTGGCTCTCCCCTGTATTGTTTAGATGTTCAGTACAGATGGTTTTATTCCTGAATTATTTCAAATTTGAGATTAGCTGAATTTGTGGATGAGGAATCCATGGACACAAAGGGCCTACTGTATGGGCAGAAGAGTGAAGGGAGACTATATCAAACCTAATCACATATTTCAAAAGAGAAGGAAAAAAGAGAAGGGGGTAAAATAAAGAAAGTATGAAAATCAGATAAGTTGTTAAAAAGAAAACTTGCTAAAATCCTGGTTAATTGGGCGGGGTGGGGGAGTGTGGCTATGTAGTTCAGGATGGCTCTGAACTCATGGCAATCCTCTTACCTCAGCCTCCAGAGTGCTATGATTATATGTGTGTGTCACCACACCAGACTTTCTGGTTAACTATTTAAGCAAAAACTCAGACAAAAGCTATAGCATTAAAAAAAAAAAAAAAAAAGGTCACTTCTTAAAAACAGAACAAAAACCAAGCTGGATGCATGGCACATGCTTGTAATTCCAGCACTCCAGGAGGGTAAGGTGGGAAGAATGCAAGTTTGAGCCCAGCCCTGGGAACTAAATGACTTAAGACCCTGTCTCAAAATTTAAAAATGAAGGGCTGGAGATGTAGCTCAGTGCAAAGCCCCTGGGTTCAATCCCCAGTAATATAAAATAGCAAACAAACAACCAAAACCAAACAAAACACACTTTTATCTAATAAATAAAATTCATTAAGGAGCCTTAAAAAATAAAATAAAATAAAATAAAATAAAATAAAATGGGCATCTCTGTCTATGGGAAGATATATTTTCTTGAGTAACCCCAAATAAAAATATAAACTTAATATATCAATATAATTTCTCTAGGGTCCAAGTATACATTCCAGGTAATTTTCTACCATTCAGTAGTGATTTAACTTTATTCTTCCCATTAACTATGCTTTTTAGTAAATATTCACATACCAAGCAAAGCCATTCTTAAAAAATAATGGCACTGTCTGTATACATGCATGCATTATGCATGTATGTATTAAGTATGTATTCATTCATTTATCCTTTATTCATGGTACTGGAGATCAAATGCAAGGGCATTTTACCACCAAACCAAGCTACATGTCCAGCTTTTTAAAGTTTTAAATTTTGAGGCGTCTTGCTAAATTGCCCAGGCTGGCCTTGAACATTTCACTCTTTTCATTCCCCTACCCTGGTAGCTGGGATTACAGGGATTACAGGGATTATAGGAGCGTGTTACCACACTCAGTTTCAATTGCTTTGTTTTAGTACTGGGGATCGAACTCGGGACCTTACGCTTTCGAGGCAGGTGGCAGAACCAGTGAGCTAAATCCCCAGCCCTTCAATTGCTTTTTTAGACCTTCCAAGAAGAATTCACTCACCCAAGGTAGGCTGAAAAGAATCTAAGAAAATATTTTCCATATCCTTGTCTATAGAAAAGATCATATTTAAGTCTTTACAACTGTGGCAAGGGTTGCATATACCCATTACTTTAAAAGGCATGAGTCTAGAAAACAGGTGTAATAAACCAAGTACTTGAGAAATATGAACATTATGTTATGGAAGAACAAAACTCAACCATGATCAATTTTTAAATATAGCAAAGTCAACATTTTACTATCAGCAAGCAAAGGATAATTCTTAAAAGAAAACAAAAGAGCAAATTTCTCCAAATTTACATCAGAGGATTAGTTATAAGATTACAGCAAGAAAGCATATTTTTATAAATTCAAAATGATTAATGATTGATTTCACAGCTAATTAATTAGTGAGGAACAAAATTTCAAATTAAGAACAAATTTGGAGAATCAGAACTACCCAGGTCTAGGATTCAGAAGTGTATGCAAATATACTGTCCAAATCAGTCTCTTTTGTCCTATGCCACAGTTAAGAAAATTTACTTTGGTTCAAGATGGTTTTTAGAGCATAGCTCATTGAATAGGCAGCCACTTACTGTACATAATTTTGTACTTTTGAATAGCACCAACAAAATGAGGGTAATTTACCAAAGCAGCAAAAATCTAGGATCAGCACAAGAGTTATAAATACTTACTAGAAGTGTAGCAATACATTTTGCCTCTTATCATTCAAAGAGAATAAAAAATGAGAATTAGCCATGGAAGCAAGGCTAATACTTGCATACAAAGGAAAATTAAATCATAGAGATTTTAATTCACTGTTCCTTTGATTTTGATGTTTTCCGCAAAGACAAAGTTTGGTTAGGTAGAGGGCAGTGTTTTGGTATAATTCTTACCAAACAATATATAAAATATTTTCATATGTAATCTGAATATACTGTTTTTTTGTACCGGAATCAAACTGAGGACGCACGTGGTGCCACAGAGCTAAATCCCCGGACCTGAATATAATCTTTTAAGGAAGACATAAAACTAACCTTGCTTAAATTCAGAGGGCTAGTACTGATACAGTTGGTGGTTTATAGGTAGCCTTTGCATAGTAAGGTTAACATTGTTAACAAAAAATGTGGGACTTTGTAAATGGATGATCTCATTATTTCTTTACTGCTGAAGAGTAACTTCAAGTAATTGCAAGAGAAAAGCACAAAATAAGTATTGCTCATCTGTAAAATTTTACTGTAGGGCCGGGGATTTAGCTCAGTGGCACCATGCCTGCCTCGCAAGTGAAAGGTCATGAGTTCGATTCCTGGTATCGCAAAAATAAATAAATAAAAAATAAATAAATAAAAATAAAATTTAGCTGTAGAGAGAAATCAAAAAGGAATATTTTGCGTGTTATACATTAAAATGGAAACTTATTTATATGTCATTTTATAGGCATGGTATTTTTCCTTGTCATTTTTCAAAGCAAATGTATAGCTTTCATTTTCAAAATTATATATCTGCTTTGTATTATCTGACTCTATAAAGCATTTTTAGATCTAACATAAGAGATATATCACATTTTGGGAAAACAAATCCAAAAGAAAAAAAAAGAATGCCAAAGGAATTCTTGTAAGTTTGAATGGAGTTGAAAAGACCATTCAATGACTGGTAGCTTTCAACTTGAAGTCTAGCAACAATTAACAATAGTTTATCTCAAAGAAAGTATGTAAAACACATTTCTACTTGTTTGCATAAATTTACAAACTAGAAAAAGAAAACAACCCCTTTTTCAGTTTGCTACTGGGATTTTGCCTCTACTTAGTCTTGTGCATGACCACAGATCTAAGCCCCACAAATGATTTTTCGATTCTGTATGAAAGCAGATGAGAATGCAAGCTAGTATAGTGGCACTAGAGTTTGAGCAACTTGGTTCCTATTTTTTTTTTATTTTAAGGAACAGATGGTATTCTTGCTGCATTCTTAAGTTACCTCTTGGTAAATGCTGAGGGAACATTCTCAGGCTCATCATACCCATATTCACCCAGATGTTAGACTGCTGTGTCCGAGTCGCAGGCTGCTGTCTCAGGAAAAGGAGATACCGAGGAAATAATTCCAGCTCTGGAATGTCTGTTTTGCTATTCTTGATCACCTGTTATTAGAATGATAAAAAGCAATTACTCTAAAAGAAGAAACAAAACTTGGCATTTTAGGTTTTTTGTTTTTTGAGTCAGGGTCTCGCTATGTATTCCAGGCTGGCTTTGAACTCTATACTATATAGCCCAGGCTGGCCTTGAACTCGAGGTGATCCTCCTGCCTCAGCTTCCCAAGTAGTGGGATTACAGGCATGTGCCACCATGCCTGGCCAAAACTTGGCATTTTAAATTCAACTTCTGAGGTTTATCTTTAAACTATACTGTTCAACAAGTTAACTACCTATATGTCATCAAATTACTGAAACTCCTGTACATTTAAATTATATAAGTTTAAATACTCTCAGGCTTCTGCCCCTAAACTCACTTTCCAAGATTAGAACTCCTTATTGGTATTTTCTTCCTGTCATTTAAAAGAAGGTAACAAAATTAAAGGGGGAAAAGAACTTTAAATAGTATCTATGACTTTACCACTCTCACACTGTAACTCTCTCACATATTTCATGTACTGTATATAAATGACTTAGTTTTGTTTTGTTTTTTTGGTACTGGGGATCAAACTCGAGTCCTTGTGCTTGCGCAGCAGGTGGAAAAACCACTGAGCTAAATCCCCGGCTCTAAATGACTTAGTTTTTAAGGACAAATTATACAGTTGGAGTTACAAGCCAAAACCTATGGAAGTATTCATGTCATTATCATTTACATAATCTTGTTGCCACCCAAAGTTTGGCAATTTACACTATTCCCAGTAATAGATGAGTGTACTAACTCTTACAAAATCCTATTACTGGTATCATTTAAAAACATCTCTATTTCATTAATACATAGAAGAAGCACTGTAAATCTACACTGAAAATAAGTTTTATTTCTTGTATTAGTAGTGAGGATAAAACTTTTCATAAAAAAAATACTATCCACTGATTTTTCTCTATGATTAAAATAACAAAAGTGGTTGTATAAGACTGAGGTTTCACATAGTTGCAACAAGATTTTTAAGTACAGTAGGCCCTTGACATACCACCTCAATTCATTTGTGAGGCCTGGCTGTAACTCAAGTTGGTCAACTGAAGGCTCAGGCTCCTCTACACAGCCTTCAAAGTCTCTCTCCTGTACACAGGCAGATCTCGGGTTCCTGAGAGAGACACTGGCCTAGGATTTCTCAATTAACCCCACACAGGAAAGGATGCTGTAATGTTCCTTCTAGAACTCTTTAAGGGTTGAATCTGTATCTGAGACCATCTGGAAACACAATGGCCGGCATTCGGGTCATAACTGAAGACTTTGTTCATAAGTTAAAACTAAAATTCTGGTCATGACCCAAGTTGTCCTTACCTTTTTTTTTTTTTGGTACCGGGGATCGAACTCAGGTCCCTGAGCTTGCGCAGCAGGTGGCTAAACCACTGAGCTAAATCTCCAGCCCTATGACCCAAGTTGTTTGTACATCAGACTGTTTGTAACTCAAGGGTCCATTATAGCTCCTTCCAAATATCCTGCTTATTAGCCCCATAAACACAGGAAAGCATTTGTATCAAAATATAGTTACTGGTTTTAAAATTAGTACATTATCAGTTTTTATATTCTAACAGGACAGAATGGTTAACCACTCAAATTCTTCAAAACAGAAAATCCTGGGCTGGGGATTTAGCTCAGTGGTTTGGCCGTCTGCTGCACAAGCGCAAGGACCCGAGTTCAATCCCCGATACCAAACAACAACAACAACAACAGCAACAAAAACCCCAGAAAAATCCTACACAACTGTTAACAATCTCAGCCAGTCAGGCTTCATTTTTAAAAATCCTCCATGTGTTCTGATACGCTACAGTATGGAAAGTTGAAAGACTCCATTCGGGAGCTTTTTAACTTGTATTTCAATAGTGAGCGATAGGAGCTCTCCCTGACACTACTGTTTAAGACTACTGGAAGAAATAAAACCTGTCCATCTTTCTTAGGTTTTGATCACTGCAAAGCCAACTGCAACTGCTTATGGTCTTAATTTAAGCATGATTTTTGAAAAGAATAATATTTTGGCAACTACAGCTTTTAAGACTGTATAAAAACAACTCTGGCAGCCACGTGTGGTAGCACAGGCCTGTAATCCCAGCACTTGGGAGGCTGAAGCAGGAGGATCACCATGAGTTCAAGGGCAGACTGGGCTACATAGTGAGTTCAAGGCCAGCCTGAACTGCATAGCGAGACCCTGTCTCAACAAAACAAAAAGAAAAATACAACAACAAAAAACCTCTCTGGCAGAATCTTAATTGATAATTAAGTAGGTTTTATAATATATATTTTTCCCCAAGATTAAGGAGAGATTTTTTGTGATGAAATTAGATCTTGAAGAGATTCTCATAAATATAGAAACACACCCATTCATTTACATTCTAATTGTTGTGTATGAATTTGTTAACTTCAATATCTCTCAGCAAACAACAGATGCAATATAATCCCTTCATTTAAAAACTCAAAACATATCTTTTGATGTACCAATTCCACTGATAGGAATTTACCTTAAAGAGATCATCACATGTTTGGAAAGACAATACTGAATAGAAAATTGCTTTAAATAATTTAAAGCTAGAAGTAAACAAAATTTCTAACAGGTGATTGGCTAACAAGTTGCAATTTATGTTCAGATGCATATGTGCATACATGAAACATAAAGGAACAGTATGTGATAATTAAAAGTGATGACACAGACCTGAATTGATTAATCTGTGAAGCTATCCAGAGTACATATGTGAGGCTGGGTTTGAACTCACTACGTAGCCCAGGTTGGCCTCAAACTCATGGCAGTCCTTGTTCCTCAGCCTCCTGAGTAGTGGGATTACAGGCGTGCACCACCATGCCCAGCTAATTATACCACTTTTAAAGTAACTTTATTTTATCTACAAATGTGATACTTATCAGTGAACACTTTAAAGGCAATATAGAGGGAAAAAAGAAAGTAAAATTCCTGTTACATCTTTCGACCTAGAGATTATTGTTAACATTTTGGTGTACATCTTCCAGATAACCCTCTGCACCCACTATTACATAGATGGCTATATGTGGATAACTATGAAATAGAATCAGATTGTACTTGATGTGTTATGATTGTCTTTACTTTTGGTACCAGGGATTGAACTCAGGACCTTGTGCTTGTGAGGCAGGCGCAGTGCTGCTGAGCTAAATCCCTGGCCCAATAATTCATTTTTAAACCTTCATATAGCAAATATTAGAGCTAATAATTTATATATTTTTAAAGCAATTTTTCCTGCAATCAGATGAATTCATCATACCCAGAGACGAAAAAAATACTACAAAGTCAGTAAATCATTTCATTCACTAAAATTATGACTTAAACTATTTATCTGACATCAGTGTAAAAAACAATCTTTTTTTTGGTTTTGTTTTGCTTTTTGTTTGGTACCAGAGATCGAACTCAGGTCCTTGCGCTTGCGCAGCAGGCGGTGGAACCACTGAGCTAAATCCCCAGCCCAAAAACAATCTTTTTTGAGGCTCCGTAATTACTCATGAAGTAATTAAGACGATGTTGATAGAAGCAACAGTTAACATTTACTGATCATTTACTATGAATCAGATGGTGTGCTAAACCATATGCATTATTTAATACTCAAAACACTTTATGAGTTTTTTTTTCTTCTTCTTTGTGAACCCAGGGCCTTTATACTGAGCTTTATCCCCAGTCTATTTTTAAATTTTTATTTTGAGACAAGCGCTTGCTAAATTGCCCAGCCTGGGTTTAAACTTGCTATCCTCCTGCCTCAGACTCCCAAGAATGCTGGGATTACAGGCATGCCCCACCAAGCCCGCCTTAACAGTGTTTGTCTTTTTTTTTTTTTTGGCACCGGGAATCAAACTCGAGACCTTGTGCTTTCGAGGCAGGCGCCGGAACCACTGAGCTAAATTCCCAGACCTTATTAACAGTGTTTCTTGATATATCAAAGAACAAAACAAAACATGTTGTTATAAGGTATTTTACTGCATCGATAATGTAACAAGTGGAGTCCAGGGTAATGACTCCTACTGTTTACTATATAAACACAGTAAGTGATGCTATATAGGTAACTTATTAATATTTTAATGTTATATACTCCAAATCCTTTCAATTATTTTACAGCATTTTATTCCAAATCACTGCTTTGAATCCCTATTATATACTGTTACATACTGTGATCTATGTGGCCCCTTCTTTAAAAAGATAAACCACAAGAATCCATAAAAAAGCTACAAAGAAATCAATTCCTAACTGGATGCCTGTGTAATTAATGAGAACAGTAGTTTCGGAAATAACTTCTAGACCACTTACTAAACTTTTTGAACTGGCCCTCTGCCTTCCTTTACCTCAAGCCTAAGGTCTACATTACCTTAGATGATATCTTGCTCATGTTGGCTAGCTTTTTACATGGCCTAATCACAAAATTCCTTAACTTTATTTAGTCCAGTGACTATTTTTCTACTCCATGTTATCCACTCGATTCCACAGACATACCAATTATACGGTTAGTATCTAATATAGTATTTATTAAATATTAAATGAATGCAACTGGGGATTTAACTCAGTGGTGTCACTGCCTGCCTCGAAAGTGCAAGGTCCTGAGTTTGATCCCCAGTACCAAAAAAAAAAAATTGAATGAATGAATGTGAAGGAACCAAAAATTACTTGTTCAACTACTGTGAACAGGTTTTGTGTACTGTCCATTATAGGGTAGGAAGTAATTTGAGTAATAAAAGACCCCCTTCTATGACTCATCTTTACATAATGCACTATTAACTATACTTACTGGTCGGGGCAGGGCCAGGTTTGCTCCATACCAATGATAAAGTGCTCTCCATACAGGTTCTGGGACCATTTCATAATCTCTCCCATGGATTAGCTGTGGAGTTCGTTTTAATCGTCCTCCTTCTAGTGTTAATGATGTAGCCTTAGAAAGAATAAAATGTTAAGAGTTGATTTTCAATACTGTAGTCTCAATACTGCATTAATAAAACCTAGACATAGGAGAACAAATACATATGTTAATGCCATTTGACACCTAAGAGGGTGTAGCCCCTAAACAATCCATTTAAGAAAGGGAACTGAAGATTCAAACCCAGTTGGAACTACATAGAGAGATTCTGTCTTTTTTTTTTTTTTTTGGGTACCGGGGATCGAACTTGGGTCCTTGCGCTTGCGCAGCAGGTGGTGAAACCACTGAGCTAAATCCCAGGCGAGAGACTCTGTCTTGAAAGGACGGAAAAAAGGGTACTCGAGGCAAACCAGGCCTGGGGATACAGCTGAGCAGGGCAGTCAGTGCCTGCCTAGCAAGTGCAAGGCCCTGGGTTTGACTCCTGGTACCAGAAACAGAAAACAAGATCAAGGCAAATCATTTGGAAAAGTCACTGAAGAATAGTAAGACAAATTTTCACAGATTTCTTTCAAACGATAAGGGCTACAATCTTGGAAAAGCATTTTCATATGTGAAACAACATTTCCATGCTAGGTATACTAAGGATTGAAGAATAACAATATAAGTAGGGCATGGTGGTGCACACCTGAAATCCAAGGACTCAGGAGGCTGAGGCAGGAGGATCTGTGCAAGTTTGAGGCCAGCCTGGACTACACGGCAAGACACTGTCTCAAGAAACCAAAAAAAGAATAACAATATATCCCCAGGATCACTACACAACTTCAATGAGAGGTTTTATTTTATTTTTTTGTGGTACTGAAGACTGAAATCAGGGCTTTTGTATGCACTGAGTTCCATCCTTAGTCCTTTGTTTATTTTGACACAGGGTTGCTAATTTGTCCAAGTTGGCCTCAAACTTGTGGTCATCCTACTTCAGCCTGCCAGAGTGCTTAGATTATAGGTGTGCACCACTACGCCCAGTGTTAATACAAGTATTAAATCATAGAATAGTCTCACAGAAATATACTATATAAAAAGATTTCCATCTACAACAGCTTAATTTCAATTAACCATAATGTTCTACTATGTGTTAAAATCCATACAGTGAAATTATTAGCAAGTTGGTAAAGAACCATTTTACAATTAGATGTCAAACTACCTACCTTTACTGGCTCTTGAGTTACTAATGGCTGGTTATCAATAGCTCCTGGCTTCTGAGGATTAAGGTGCAATAGAATATTCCCATTGGCTCCTAGCAAACATTGGTTATTATTGTCAGAAGTGTTATGTTGTCGAGCAAAGCACATATCTGGCCCAGGTGTGGCAGAATACAAAAATCCTATATGGGAAAAAAGCATGTAATCTTTTATTTTTAGTTACCATACATAAATAGGTTTGAAGATATGAACTGAAATGTTCATGTATTAGGACAATACTATTATTCTGTTGGCAAGTTAGTACAATTCTAGATTCTGATAAATGTAGAAGATAAGAAGTACACATATATTCATTTCTGAACAACAGACAATAAAGTAGAAAGTAAAATTAAAACTTAGAAAAACTGGTACCAAATGAATATTTGGCCACCTTCTTAGACAATCTAATAACTCGTGATAAGAATTTCATGTCCTCTCACAGGAAGAAATGAGGTACAGCTAGGTAGCTGGGCTTTTACATAGTCTCCCTTAGTTCTTTTACCTGCAAACATATTCCAAATACTCTAGGTAGACGATGGCAACAGGTAGCCTCTAAGATAAAACGAAGGAAATAGAACAAGAATTCCAACACAAGAGAGCTGTGTCCTAATATATTTTATTTTATTTATTTTTGGTACTGGGGATTGAACTAGGGTCGTTGTGCTTTGGAGGCAGACAGCGGAACCACTGAGGTAAATCCCTGGCCCTAATGTATCTATTTTAAAAAGAAGGCAAGACCTTTACAATGGGAAAATACATGCAGAAAAATGATTAATGATGACTTCACGGTATTTTAAGATACTTCAACTCTTGACCTTAGGTAAACAGTCTAATCATGAATCACTCTGTAATTTTCTAGCTGGGTTACTGCTCAGCTTGTAGGTTACACAGTTATACAGTGAGCACATACCTAACAGATCTTTACATTGGGCTAAGAAATAATTCTGACTGGGGCTGGAGTATTGCTCGATGGTAGAGTGCGTGCCTATCAGGTACAAGGCCCTGTGTTCAATCCCCAACACCAAAAGAAAAAAGGAGAGAAAGGGAGAGGGAGGGAAGAAATGAGGGAGAGAGAAAAAAGAGAGGCATTTTGGTGCTAAAGCTGTCAGGGTACTTCTAGGAAGGCTGTGTTTCCAGTAATATCAGAAAACAGCAATAGTAGATTCTACAAAGAGCTCTGAAGGGAAATGCTAGCTGTGCCAATTTGCTTACTCAGTTCAAAGAAAACAAAGTCTCAAGGAAGAAATAACAACAGAGTACTTCTGAGGGTCCTGCCACTTTATCAACAGAACAAAGAGGTCATCTCAATTCATTTGGGTCATGGGAATACCAAAGCATCTTCCTCAAGAATACAGAATGACTAAGTTTTAGGTAAGTATAAAGGACAGAAGAAAATTATGGAAAGCATTATGAATTAACAGTATTTTAACAAAATAATCCTCAAATTTTTGCCTAAGTGTCCATAGAATTTGTTTTGAGGAGTCATATAATCCTATGAAGGTACGTTAAGGTTAAAGAGTTCTGGAAATGGAAAATTTTAGTTTTTCAAAAATTGCCTTGCCATATCTAAATTTACTGACACACAGATGTAGTAGCAATATGAAGAGAGATGGTATGATTAATGAAAAAAGTGAAAATATTTTCATAGGGAAACTGATACAATATAGAAAAAAGTTTTTATTTGGAAAGCTATTAATATATTCAAGAATTGGGCTGGGTATTTAGCTCAGTGGTTCCGCCGCCTGCCTTGCAAGCGCAAGGACCCGAGTTTGATCCATGGTACAAAAAAAAAAAAAAAAATATATATATATATATATGTATATATATTCAAAAATATATATAATCAAGAATCTTATAATTGACCATTTCATTCCACCTTATTTCTGCAAGTCAAAGCCTGTTGCTGAATATTCCATCCAACACATTGTTTACCACAGTAGACTCAGTTAAGAACTAACCCTGACTAAACCTCATGGGAATCAAGTCTTATTTACCGCTGCCAGCGGTTTCAGAAGCTTCAGATGCAGTAGAAATGTTGTCTGAAGACTTCTCTTCTGTGGTATTCACATAACTGAAGCTGCCTCCATTTCTATCTTCACTCTGCTCCATAGGATGTACTGCTGCTGTTCCAAATGAAAAGTTTCCTCCATTCAGAACAGATGATGGCTCAATTACAACAGGGTTGGCACCCTAAAATCCAAAGAGAGTAAGAAGTAAAATTTAATAATCTGATTACCAGGTAGCCTTCAAAAAAAGAAGCTGGGTGTGGTGGCACACACTTGTAATCCTAGCACCCTGGGAGGCTGAGGCAGGAGGATCAAAAGTTCAAGCCCAGCCTGGGAAACAGTAACTTAGTGAGACCCTGTGCCCTGTCTCAAAACAAAAAATAAAAAAGGGCTGGGAATATAACTCAGAGTGAAGGTACCCTGGGTTCAACACCCCCCCACCCCGCCCAAAACGAAAAACAAAACAAAACATCACCCTTAACAATTATCTATTATTTCTCATTCTCTAATCTTCCTGGAGCTAGCCACATTTAAAAATACTTTAGGGCTGGGGATTTAGCTCAGTGGTTTCAACACCTGCCTCAAAAGTGCAAGGACCCGAGTTCGATCCCTGGTACCAAAAAAACAAAAAAAAAACCTTTAATGTGTAAATTTTAATCTCTTTAAGGGGAAGAATGAGAAAATATACACACATGTAAAGTAGTTTGGGAGAGACTATGAAGGGCTCTGTGCCACCTAATACTTTTTCTGTTGGATTTTTTTTTTTAGGAAAACATTTATGGATTCTTTTTTTTTTTTGTATTAAATTCTTTTATTGGTACATTGTAGGTATACAACACAATTACATTTCTCATTGGGAACTGTACCTTTACATAATGCATCTTAGTTCTTATTTTTTCCCCATTCCCAGCCCTCCCTTCACGCCCTCCACCCTTCCCTATTTACAAAGACTTTATTTCCATTTTTTCCATTTCTCATCGTTTTTCCTTTCCCTTCTTTCCTTTCCCCTGCCCCTCCCACTACCCCTACCCCTTTGGACCTTTTCTTCCTATTTTACATTTTCGATTATTCATTCTAATCATTGGTACATTTTAGGTATACAATATAATGACATTCATCATTGGAAATTTGCACCTTTACATAGTCTCTCTTGGTTCTTATTTTTCACCCTTGCCCAGCCCTCCCTTCAACCCCTCCATTCCTCCCTATTTACAAAGATTTTGTTTCTATTTTTCCATTTTCTCATATTATATGGATTTTTTGATATTAAAGAATTGAATAATATTCCTTCTATTTTTAGTAAGCTCATAAGGTCATTGTAGAAAAATATAGAAAATATGATAAGACACCCAGACTGGGCTTGAGCCTGCAATCCTACTGCCTCACCCTCCCAGAGTGCTGGGATAACAGGTGTGTGCCATGAAGGCTCTGGCACTCTTATTTTATTTTATTTATTTATTTATTTTGGTACCAGGGATCGAACTCGGGTCCTTGCGCTTGCACAGCAGGCAGTGAAACCACTGAGCTAAATCCCCGGCCCTTATTTTATTTTATTTATTTATTTATTTATTTATTTAAAAAATTTTTTTCTGGCACTCTTAATTAAAGGGACTGGAATTCCTTCAGAGCTGACTGCTAGAAGATCCATAGATTGATAGTATTTCTCTGGTTTAGGGCTCAAAGAAGAGAAATTAGGTAATAAAATGCAGATCAATGTCTCCCTGTTTTGGTTAAAATTAGTGATGCTTTAATATCCTTAAATAAAACCAAAGCATTAACTATGCTACTGATATGCTGTGACTTGGAGTTTGTATTTTAAATATGCTGTTTAGTTAGGCTTCAGTTACTTAATAAGCAGTGCCTTCAAGACTCACATTCATTGACCTTTGTCCTTTGGGTTCCCCCCACCCAGTATTGGGGATTGGCCCAGGGCCTTTGCACTAAGCTACATCTCAATCCTTTCTATTTTTTGAGACAGCTTCTCACTGTCTCTAAATTGCATAGGCTGCCTACGCTTCAACTTGCAATCACCCTGCATTAGCTTCCCAGAGTGCTAGCGTGATAAGTGTGTGCTACCACGCCTAGCTCACTAATAAAAAAATTTTTTTTTTTCTTGCAGTGCTTGCAATTGAACACAGGGCCTCACGCATGTTAGATGAAGTGCTGTACCACTAAGCTACATCCCCAGCCCAACTATCAGTTTTATCCAGTATAATTCATGCCAGAGTTTGTGGAATGTCACTAAATTCTACCCATGGGATTCCCTATCTCCTCTGGTACTGTGGGATCCAGATTTGCTGGTTAATCCTTTTAGTCCTTCTATTTACATTCTGTCACAAATACCCTGATCTCTCTCTTTACAACACTTACAGATACTTATTCTCATAGCACCATCCCCCTCTCAGCTTTTTATCACTATTAAATATCAAAGGATTTCTCTTCTTTTTCCTGACTTTTGGGTCTATTTTCAGAAAGATGAATTTCTAAGTAGGGAAAGTTTCACTCATGGTCAGAGAGGCAATGAAAAACCAGGAGACTATTAAGTATGAAAAGCAAAGACTAGTAGTTAATGGGTATGTGGGAAGAAACCAACATATCTATGTTTCTGAATTTACAGGAAATCATTCCTGTAGTATTTCTTATTATTAACAGCTCAGTCCATATATTGGATCTATAGATATTATTGGCAAGCAAAGAGAATGATAAAAATATCATCGGGCTTTAATTTGTTAGGATGAATTTTATAATAATTTAGCAACAGAATGATTATAATAGTCTTTGAGGCTGCAGTCTGCTCCAGATTGCAGACTCTCTGCTTTCAAAGGACCAGTGAGTAATACCCTTTAGACCTGGAGAATATGCCCTTTTCTTCACTTCCTTCCCCATGCTCCAAACTCCCAGTCTTTGGCTTTCTTTTCTATTATAAGAATCTCTTGCCCTGAGTGTCTTCTGCTTCAAACTGTCACTACCATCCAGGTTCCTTCCTTTTTCCCCTCCTCTGTGTTTTTTTTTTTCTTCATCAGTACTAGGGATTGACCTCAGGACCTTGTGCTTGCCAGGCAGGACTGGCACCACTGAGCTACCCACCCCCCATTTTTACTGTTTTCTTATTCCTTCTATTTTTTTTTGGCTTTCTGTGAAACAGCTAACTATTCATTCAACTAATCTTATCACTATGTTCTGTCTATGTTCTGAGCAAGCCAGTCACAGTTATATGAAGTCACTGGCTCTTTATGACTGTGTTGTGTGTTTCTAACTGATCTGAAATTTAAAAATTTTTTTCCTAAAACCAAGGTATTTTGTTTTGTTTTTATTGATTTCTGGGCCTAAAACTATCCAAAATTACTCTAAAAGCCTATGTTTTTAGGAAGATAGGTTTCTAGATGATTTATTTTATCCATTGTGAGAAATTTCCCCCTTTTCTTACTCATCAATTTCTAAAGGGGACTATGGGGTACTTCAGTGAGAATTCTACTTAGGAAATTTTACAATTCCCTCTGAGTTGTATGAATATGGTAATATATTCCAAAATATGAGCCAGGATTCATCTTTTTCCTATTAATGATATGCCTTCACATACATGCTAAAAGTACTAATAATCTTAAAGAACTAACAGTTTTATTAATTTTATATTTTGGTAATGTGAAACACTGGTTTTGGAAAATGGAAGGCAGTACGGGAAAATGGAAAAAGTAGTAAGGCAAATACTACTAGTACTAAGCTCCAGAGTTGTAGATAGGGTAATAAGGTAACTGACTAAAGTAATACAGTTTTAGGCAATTTTATAACCTACAAGGTCCTCAGAGGCTTCATTTGCAAACTTAAGAGAGGCGCTTTAAAGCACTTTTTAGCCAGGTGTGGTGGTGCACAACTGTAATCCCAGGACTCAGGAGGCTGAGGCAGGAGGATCGCTGTGAGTTCAAGGCCAGCCTGAACTACATAGCGAGATCCTGTCTCAAAAAATAAATGAATGAATGAATGAATAAATAACTTTTTAGCTCCAAAATTAGTTTCACAACCACTAAACAGTAAAATCTGTACATGAAAAATAATAGCTGCTGCCTCTTAACAGGAAGACAGAACATATCCACTACAACGATGATAAAAAATTTCACCATTCCTCCTTATTTAAATTTTTATAGGAGATTCGACACAGAATGAAAACAGGCTGGCTCAATAAAGAAGAAAAAGATTGGTAGGATATCATAGAAGAAAAAAAAATCAAATATTCAAGCTGAAGTAAATCACAGAAAATCTGGGGTAAGCCATTCCAAGAAAAGATGGCTTATTTTTCCTGCTCCTTTGGTCTTGGATCTTTCCGTTTAGGTATTAGCCATCTAAGACACACAGCCTGTGCTCAAGAACAATTAGTAATTCATACAAGCAAGTATGACATTTTGTGAAGAGAAAACAGTTAACTAAAGCTAACTGATATTTCAGGTAGGCAGACTAAGCCCAGAGTAAAGTCAAATTAGCCAACATGATAAAAATCCTATTTAAAAAATAAGTCATTTTTCAGAGTTGCCATATATATACTGGAAAAAGAAATTTAAATCACAAACTAATCACTACTGCTGCTGCTATAATTACTGCTATTACTACCACCATTATTGCCTCTAACCTTAGTGAGCTAAGTACTTCACATATGTTAACTTACAGATATAACTGATTCCACTGTTCATATGTGGAAACTGAGATAAAGGACAAGTCATTTGTTCAAGGTCATAAAAAAGTGTCAGGGCTAGGACTCCCATAGAGTGTGTCCAAGCTCACAGCAATGACTTTATTTTGTTAGTTTCTCATAAAAACAGTGAATGCCTCCTGTATTTAGTATTTACTATGTGCCAGACACTGTTGAAAACATTTAATATGTATTAGCTCATTTAATTCTCATAACATGCTCTGAGAAAGGTCACTACTATTATTCTCATTTTAGAGATGGGGAAAACAAGACCAGAATGTGCATTTATAGGAGTTACCTCTTAGTTTTAAAAAATTCTATTAGTATATTTTTGCAATACATAATAAATACATTCATCTTAGGAACTGGCACATACGCACAGCGCATCTTGATTCTTTTTCCTTCCTCTTCCCCCAGCATGTTTTCTCCTCTTTCTCAGATCCCCTTCCCATCTCCACAAAGTCTATCTCCCTGTTTCCTATAATTTTTCTTTCATTTTGCACTTTATTTATAGTTTGGGTTTCCATGTAAGGTAAATTATGCTATATTTAACATTCTGTGTCTGATTTATTTCACTAGCTTGCATCCATCTTCCTAGAAATGACTCAAATTTACTCTTCTTTATGGCTGAGTAATAGTGTCTCTCTCTCTCTCTCTCTCTCTCTCTCTCTCTCTCACACACACACACACACACACACACACACACACACACACACACACACTTTTCTTTATCCATTTATCTGTTGATGGGTATATAGGCCACTTCCAAGATTTGGCTATTATAAGTTATGCTGCTGTAAACATGGATATGCATATATCACCGTAACAGGGTATCTTTAACTCAGGAAGATACCTAGAAGGGGAATACAGTGGTCCTTCCATTTACAAACATAATTTGTTTTATGATTTTGGGGAAGATGGCTACGTTTGTGTTTCAGTGGGGAAAACGGCCACAGTCGTGTTTGTCACCCAATGTGAAGTTTGAAAATGCAAGCAAAATTTTGTGAATAGCACTGTTTACAAACACAGTTTGCAAACAGAAGCATTCATGAATCAGGGTCTTACTGTACATGGGTCAAATGGAATGTATATTTTTAATCTTTTGAGGAACCTCATACTGATTTCCATAATGGCTGTACTCGTTTACATTCCTACCAACAACGTAGAAGGGTTCTTTTTTTCCCCACAGCCTCTCCAGCATTTGTTTTTTGAATTCTGCATGATAGCCATTCTTTCTGGAGTAAGATGGAACCTCAGTGTTGTTTGGATTTACGTTCTCTAATGGACAAAGAACCTAAACATTTTTTCATGTACCTTCTGGCGATGTGTACTTCTGAGAAGCACATTTCCATTGCCTATTTTTTTTATCGAGTTACATTTTGGAGATTTTTTAATTTTTTTTTTAGTTCTTTGGCTATTCTAGATATCAAGAAGTTATTTTTATTTATTAAAGATTATTTCTTAACAGATATTTTCAGAAAGGATTTCTATTACTCTACTTACATTTTTTCCACATCTTATTAAATAAGCTATCATAGTTTTCCACTTCCTTCCTCTCTGGACAAACCAATATTCTCAGGTTTCTCACAACAGTCTTCATTTTGAAATAGATTTTAAAGCCTACATCTGACATACACATACTAGATAATACAGGGTGTCAGAGTAGGGAGAGGCATATGGAGGGCTATGGCAGGCATGAACAGATGAAGTTCATGCTCTTGTCAATGCACCCTATTTACAGAGGTCACACATGTAAGATGAAGACCTCCACTGTGCTTCTACAGAAAAACACATCTAAAATGAAATTAGACTATTCTTTCAGCCTATACTCAGTTAAGACATTAATAACTACTAATGCCAAACTAAGAATATAAAGATCAAAAAGTATTTCAAAATAAAGACTGATGTTTTATTCTAATATTTTCATTTTCTTTTTTGTTTTGTTTTGTTTTTGTTTTTGTTTTTTTTTGGTACCAGGGATCGAACTCAGGTCCTTGCGCTTGCGCAGCAGGCAGTGAAACCACTGAGCTAAATCCCCGGCCCATTGTTTCTGTTTTTTGAGACAGGGGCTCACTAGGCAGTTCAGGCTGTCCTTAACTCGATATGTAGCCCAGGCTGGCCTCAAACTTGCAATGATCCTCCTGCCTCTGCCTCCAAGTGCTGGGATTATAGGCATGCACCACCATGCCTGGCATAATGTTTTCATTTTCTAACTACACTCAAAATTATCTACCTATATAGGCCTACCTGTAAGTCCTTAAAGTCTCTTGCCTCCTTTTATTCCTTCAGAGACACCAAAGTCCATGTTAGCCACTTAATAAGTTTTACATTGGAAAACATACTACTAAATTCTACGAATGGGAAAAAGAATAAGGAAGAATGATAGAGTAGATGATGTAAAAAGTCTATCCTACCACCAATATTCTGACAGTAGGCAGTGACAGAAAAGAAAAATATGAATCAAATTATTAGAACTTTAGGATTTTGATAAATGACAGTAAGTCTATATACTAATTAAGTTTCCATGGATGGAGACATTGGCATTATTATTTAGTTTTCTAATTCTGAAAAAAACTGTTTTACTTGATTTTTTAAAACTTATTTTTATTAATACATATCTGCAGTACATAATAATTACATTCATCATGGGGAGTCAGTACATGTACATAACACATCTTAATTCTTTTTTCATCCCTTATACCTCCCCCTAGCTAGGATATTTAATAATGAGAATTTTTCTTTAACTCTTTATTTGAAACAATGGTAATTACCTTGTAGCAATCCTGAATTCTAGTATTATTTATGAAGTGAAATTTCTTGAATAGTAAATTAACACTTCTTACAGAAGGGTCTTCCACTATTTAATGGAGAAGGTGAACTAACTAAGGACAATACAAATGATGCAGTTTAGAGAATCCAGGCTTTAAAAGTTAGTCCTGAAGTTCAATCCAGGATGTACCCTGAGCACGATATTTAGGTCACCTTTTCTCTCGGCACCAAGTTCCTTTCCCACAGGTAAAAATGGATATAATATCACCTTCCTTACAGAGACAGCATGAGAATTAAGTGAGCTATGAAGCACATTACACAAGGTGCCCCTGTGCCCAGTATTACCTTTCTTAAAGGGAAGACATTTATGTGGAAGTGTTTGCACACAGCACATCCTGTAGCAAATATCACACAAACTTTAACGCTTTTCCCTTCAAATCTTTCAGTTGAAACATTTCATTCCTGGCCAAAAGTCACACACAGTCTGATGGAGTTGAAATTCTTATAAAAATGCAGATTAACAGGAGTATGACTCACGTATTTGACGTATTCTTTCCATTGTTGCCACCACTGCATGGAGATGATAAACCAATTGTGTCCTGGCTGCAGACCATACCTGCTTTCTCGTTCTAACCATCCTCTGTGCATACAAAAGAAATTCAATACATGAAATGAAGTTTTGTGAAACAGGCCAACAGCCACAATTTATCATTAGAAGTTTTAGAAAGGGCTGGGAGTGGTGGTGAATGCCTTAGAGGCTGAGGAAGAGGACCACAAGTTCAAGGCCTTTATTTTATTTATTTATTTTGGGTCTTTGACAGAGGTCCTGCTATGTAGCTCAGGCTGGCCTCGAACTTGCAGTGATCCTCCTGCCTCAGCCTCTCCAGTGCTGGGATTACAGGTGTGTGCCACCACCTCCGACTATCAAATCCTTTATTGTAAAACACGTGATTTATGGGGGTTTTTTTTTGTATCGGGAATCAAACTCAGGACCTTGCACTTGCGAGGCAGGCACCGGAACCACTGAGCTAAATTCCTGGCCCTTTAGTGGTATTTAGTACAATGAAAATGTTGTGCAACCATATCCTTTGTTAAATTCTAAAACGTGTTCATACATTCTAATGAAAGAGTCATCCATTAAATAGTCATTCCCTATTATTCACTTTCCCCAAGGCCTTAACACCTACTAATCAGTTTTCTATACCTACGGAATCACCTGTTTTGGCTATTTCATATGAATGGAATACACTAGGCAACCTTTATGTCTATCTTCTTTCATTTAGCATACTTGTGAGGCTCATCCACATAACGGCAGGTACCGCTACTCTATTCCTTTTTATGGCTGAATAATATTCCCTGCAACATGTATACTACTTCTTGTTTATCCATTCCTCTACAGACGGACATACAGATTGTTTCTACTTTTTTGGTTACTGTGAGTAGTGGTGCTAGAAACATGTTGTGCAAGTATTTGGGTATCTATTTTCATTTCTTTTGGGTTGTACCTAGAGGTGGAATTGCTGCGTTACTTAGAAATTCTATGTTGAAGAACTACCATGTTTTCCATGATGGCTGTACAATTTTACATTTCCACCAAAATGAGGGTTCCAACTGCTCCACATCCCGTTTTTTATATTATAACCATCCCAGAGGGTAAGAAGTAGAGCTTCATTGTGGTATTTCCCTGGTAACTAATTACACTGTACATCTTTTTAAGGTGCTTGGTGATCATCTGAACATCTTTCACAGAGAAATTTATATTCAACTCCATTTTCATGCTTCCATTTTTTTTAAATTAGGTTGCCTTCTGATTGCACTGTAAGTTTAGATATTCTGGTTATTAGACTCCTATCAGATATATGACTTGCAAATATTGTCTCATTCTATAAGTTGTCTTTTCAAGTTACTAATTATGTTTTTGTTTTTTGGTTTTTTTGTGGGTTTTTTTGGTACTGGGGATCAAACTTGGGACCTTGTACTTCTGAGGCAGGCAGTGGAACCACTGAGCTAAATCCTCGGCCCTAGATTGTTTTTTAATATCCAAGTTTTAAATTTTTTCCTTTTTCTTTATGTTGTACTGAGGATTGGAGCCAAGAGCACTTCACTGAATTACATCCTCAGCCCTTTTTATTTTTACAGACAAGGTCTGCCCAGGCTGGCCCCAAACTCAAAATCAGGCTTGCATTACCATAATTGGCTCAAAAGTTTTTAATTTTGATGAGGGCCAATTTATGTTTTTCTTCAGTTGTTCATTCTTTTGGAGTCACATCTAAGAATCCAATGCAAAGTTCAAACTGTTCTGAGGGAAGTTTTGTTGGATATAGAGCTCTTAAAAGAGTTTTGTTGGGCCAGGGATTTAGCTCAGTGGTTCCATCACCTGCCTTGCAAGCTCAAGGACCCAAGTTCGATCCCTGGTACCAAAAAAAA